AATTTTAAAATATCTTCTTTCATTCCATCATAATAGTAATTATGTGAACAAGATTTATTGTTTTTATTTTTACAATTTGTGCATAGATTTTGAAATTTTGCTTGAATATAGAACGGGTATCTATTCCATTCATATGAGATGTCGACACCATCATCACCAATAATATTAAAATTTCCCAATCTATAAAAATTTATATTTTCAATAGTTTTATCTTTTGTAATTTTAAGATTATCATTATACATTATTTGTATTTTACCAAATCGAAGAGACAATTTTTCATTTTGTTTATATGTAGATTTATGTAATAATTTTTCACCGTTGAATTGGTAAAATGTGAATTTTTTCGGATGTAATTTATGCTTCTTCAGATAAAGAAATAATTTATTTTCGAAAATTTCTTCAGAAATTACACCAAAATGTTCAACATTATATTCAAATAATAAAGTTTGTGGTTTTTCTAATCAATTCATTTTATTTTAATTGATAAATTGTATGTAATTAATTAATAATTGAATTAATAATATAAATATAAATAAATTAAATTTTATTAAGTAATAAAAATAAAAATTTACTTGATATTTTTATTGATCATTTTATATCTTGTGAGTGATGTTAAACAGAGATATATTTGTCAATGTTGTGGTGGTAATCATACAGTGTCAAGTTGTGTAAGATCATGTGTTCATCTGACAATTATTCGAGAGTTAATTTTACGTGTGAATATAGATCGAAGCAGATATTTCGGATCAAGACCAAAAACTTACACACCAGTTATTCAAAGAAGACCGAAACAAATACAGGCACAGATACCTAGAAGACCTAAAGGAGGAGGACTTAAACAAAATCCACAGATAAAACAAATACCAATAAAACAATTACCAATAAAACAAAAACCAAATGTAATAAGAGATGATCAAATAAGAGATGATCAGATAATCAGTGATCAAGCTAAACAAATTATAATTCAACCAAAAATACCAATACCTCATCAAATACTGATACCTGTAATAGAACCACAGGTAGATTGAGGAGCATTGGAAATAAATATACATGAAGAAATATGTTCTATATGTTTAACAGCATTTGATATTGAAAATTTAGATAGAGCAGTGATACCATGTTGAAATAATCATATATTTCATTTTTGTTGTATTGATCGATGGAGTCAACGTGCGATTACTTGTCCTATATGTTGTATACCGTTACAACCTGATGAATTATGGAGAAATGTAGTACCAGAAAATATATTAAGACCGGATGTGATAGCTTTACAAAGATATAGAGAAATTCAAGTAAATAAACTACCAGAAGAACAAATAATTATTGAAGAAGAAGAAGAATTCGATCAACAAGATGTTTCAGATTGTCCTATTTGTCATATATCATTACATCAAGGTGGAAATATTATACAATTATATAATAATCAACATGTGCCTTATTATATACATGAAGATTGTGCAATTGGATGGTATGATAGACCTCGTATTGCACAAACTTGTATAGTGTGTTTTGAACCTCTTTTACGTCATCGAGTAGGAGGAGATCATATATTACAAATAATGAGACGAAATCGAGATCAAAGATTAAATTTGGAATGAGCTAGGAGACGAATGGAAGAAAGACAAAGAGATATGGATAACATTCCACAAATAAGGGAGAATGTGGAGGTGATTGATAATATACAACAAATAGTTGTAGTAAAGCAGCTACCACCACCACAACAAAATGAAGATAGAAATATGAATCCACAAGATTTTACAAGATGTTCTATTTGTAATACACCTTTAAGGGAAGCTATGAATAGTAATCCAGAAGTAGTAAGGCTTTGTAATAATCAAAGACATATGGCTCATATGCATTGTGCGATTAGATGGTATGATAGAGACAGTGTTGATACACATTGTGTTATATGTGGTTTAAATTTAATTTTACCATATGTTCGAGTAAATAGAAATCAAGTATTA